TCTCTCTCCTCTCCTCTCTCTCTCTCTCTCTCTCTATTTTAGGAAAAAATGCCAAATATTTGTAATTTTGAACACAAATAATGTTTGACTGAGAGTTGAATGAATTGTATTGACTAACCGTTAGTGTAATGTTTGGGGCATTGAATGTATTGAATGTATTGAACATTATTTATATGTTATTTGAGTTAAGAATTCAATTATTTCTTAATATAACAGTTATTTTCGATTCAATGGTTTGTTTTGTTTTGATTTTTGCCATATTTTGCATCAATTCATACATTGATTAGTAGTCTATGAGTGAAAGCATTTAATCATTCATTCAATCCTTCATTGAATTACATTTCCATTCAATTATTTATTGCATTTGTTTTGTGAATCTCTTTCAATGTTTTAACCATTGATTTGCTGTCAAAGAAATCGATTGTTTAGTGATTTTGCGACACAAATGGCCAACAATTGCGGATCAGATACTGATCTCACATTTGCCTCATCTGACGAAGAAATACTATACTTAAGAAGAAGGTATTGTCCATTGTTTTGATGCCATTATGAGTCATATTGAATGTGAATGTCTTTTACTTGAAGAGTGACTGAATATCAGACAGAGTTAGAAGAGTTTCAGGAATCGAGCCATGAATTGGAGTCAGAACTGGAGGCACAGCTCATCCAATCAGAGAAGCGCATCCAAGAGTTGACTCAACACAACTCCAGACTCCAGTCGGACAACGAATCACTGAAAGCAAAGTTCGGCAAACTTTCGGTCGAAAGTCAGAACCAAATCCTTGAACTGCAGAAGGAAACGGCGGAATTGGGATCAGCTAACGATCGGCTCACGTGTTATATCCGAGAACTGGAACAGTCCAACGATGACCTCGAAAGGGCGAAGAGAGCCCTCGACGCCAGTCTTCAAGACTTCGACACTCGACTCAATCAACAAATTGAACGAAACGTTTTGCTCGAAAATGAAATCGGAGAGAAAGAGGAGCTCCAGGAAGTGATCCAACGTCTCAAAGACGAGGCACGAGATCTGAGACAAGAGCTGATGGTTCAGCAAAAGGTGGAGCCCAACACTGACAAGAGGGTGACCGGCATTGGGGCCCATAAACTGCCAATCGATAGCTCATTAAATAACAACAATAATTGCAATAATAATAACAATAATAATACTAATAATACAAACAATAAGATTAGGAGTAATAGCATTAATGTAAGTCATTGCGAGACTCAAACAAACGGCACTCCAACTAAACAGACGAGACTTAATTACATGAGTCGAAGCATATCTAACCCGACGTCACCGTCGGTGGCCTCTCAGTGTCAGTCCACACAACCGCTGCCATTGCTGTCTCCGTCGACTCGTATATCGGCGCTCAATATAGTGAGTGATTTACTCCGAAAAGTGGGTGCCTTGGAGTCAAAGCTGGCCTCTTGTCGTAATATCGTTACCACAAACTCTTCTCTCTCCCGAAACTCATCCCTCAATAACAACAGATCAGCCAATTCTACGCCAATTAGCTCTCCGGTCAAAGACCCCATTAGAGACATCAATGCCAACTGTTAGTCCACCTCTTCTACAGACAGCACTCGTTATTTCGATTCTCACATTCATTATTCACAACAGAAGACACATCTTATGATAAATTAAAGTATTTGTTTATAAAATTTTAAAATAACAACAAAATTCCTTTTTATATCATATATTAATGTAAAACAAAACATAAAATCTTTAAATTATAGATAAAAATATAAATTTATAATATATTTGGCACTGAATTATAATGAGTTTCAGCCAACAAATAGGTGTATGACTTAGAGTATAAATTTAAGTTATTTTAAATATATATTATATGTATTCAATAAAAGTGATTTTAATTATAATAAATTTGTATCAATAAATAACCGGTTAATTAGAGTAAGAAATTTTAAGTCTCAATCGATGAATAGGTGCCGTTCGGGGCTCTCAACAGTTTGGGAAATGTCATCAATTGTAATGAATTGAATGCATACTTAGCAACGCCCACATTCTTCTTAGTGTTCTCCCGACGGGTGCCCTCACTATCATTGCAAACCATTCAATGAGTTTAACATTTACTTCAAATATCATAGCATTTAATACCTTCGAAGAGTGTCGACAACGGTCTGAAACCATTGCATTTCATTCACTTCACAGATATCAAAGAGTTGCGCACAAAGACGAGCTTCTTCTAGAGTGACGGCCATCGAAGTCCTGTCTTTAGCGCTCTTACAGCTCGTGAAGCGAATGCCATCAACACATTGAACCACTTCTTCGGCCAAATGTAAGACACGGATATTTTTGGCTCTATTCGACCAAATCTCGGACTTTAGTGAACCCATCTGTGAATTGGCTATCGGGCTATTCGACCAATATTTAATCACATGGGCTTCTAATCGCAAATAGTTTTCTTTGTTAATTGTTTCTTGAAGTTTAACGGAACCCAAACTGTTGTTATTTGGCAAACAATAAATAGTATATTTTATATACAAATTACTATAAGGTATTAATAATAGTTACGTTTCTGCAAGAGTCGCGTATTCGTTGATTCCAATGTTAAAGAGTAATGACAAGAGGTTTGTCTCAATTCTGTTTAGAGTTGTCGGCAAATCTCGGACATAAAATGTCACTCTTATATGAAAACTGTTAAACAAATAAGAGAACGTGTAAATTACTCATCTATACTACCAATACTATCAATAATTATTATTGATTTGCATATAAAAGTAGTTTGAATACCTGTTGCCTTCAATTTTTGGCTGAAAACTCAATTCACTGGACTTTTGAAATACAAATTTAACACAAGTGTTCAATTGATTGATAGCGTAGTGCATGTCCTCCAACATTGACATCTCGTCGGCGTGACAGCTGAGGAGTGCCTCGTGTTGTGATAACACAGTTTGTGTTTGAGTTACAGTTTGCATAAATGAATGACAATCGAGTTTAGACAGAGTGGCGATTATAAGAGCGGTCAGCGCTTCGGTAAATATGGCATCTCTTCGAAGACGTAAGCGATAGAAGTGCTCTATTTGTTCGCGATCTAACTTCAGGGCACAACTCGCGTAACAAATACT